GATAGCATGACACGGCTTGTGGGCATGCGCTACATGCGCTGCCGACGAATTTAAACCAATTCATGAATAAACCTTTAACTTATCTCGACCAACATGAAGTAACTGAGTCTAAAATAATTTAAAATGCTTAAATAACCATAAATTACTCATGAGTTGCCGGATAGAAATGAATTTCACTCGGCCTACAATGTCCTAAACCGAGCATATCATGGCATATCTATAAATTTTCTTGACATAAGCTGAACAATTCGTCTTATCAGGAACTCATCAACATGGAAAGATGCTGAGGAAAGTTACCTTCTCAAGTGCTCGGTGAAATTCACAAGAACGGGCGTGATCTCCTCGTCCTGTGTGTGCGTGCGTGAAGAATATACCGTGTGCGTGCGTTAAAGCCTTAATCTTACTTAATTTGGTTTAAGGTTTGCTGAGTGTATAGCTTAGTAAATAAGCTATATTTCCCCCTCAATATCTGATTTTATAGAAGGCTAAAATGATGGTGAAAATGGTGAGAATTCTCGGCCATTGGCCGTGCGCCATGTGCCGCGTGCTCATGGCCTTAGATGGCCATCACTTGGCTTACTCATCACCCTTAATGCTTAGTCATCCTCCCAACTCACCTCAAGCTTCCATGTGTTAAATGTAATGATGACTTTGCACGTGAAAGAATTGAAGGCCTCATTCTCGGCTATTAGTTGGCCTAAGCACGGCTTAGGCATGCTAATGGCGTGCTTATGCGTGCATTAAGCACGTCTGTGCTAACAGCGTGCTAATGATGTGCGGGACATGAATTAGCGTGCAATCAAGGACCGATTAGGTTACTAGATGGCACTTAAGCTCGGTAACGTTAATTATCGAGCGATTGAACATGAATTAATTATCAGAAAATTATTCCAAACATGACGGAATATTCGAACATTAATTCGAACACTCCTTGACTTGAATAAATAATTCCGAACGATAACGTTAAATAAAATAAATATTCCAGAACTAACCATGATATTTCATTAATAATATGACGGGATATTACAATCTGCCCCCCTTAAAATATTTCCATCCTCGGAAATACAAAACATAACATATATACATGAAACATGAAAAGATATATACATCAAAACTGAAAATCAGGAAAACGAGCACGGATATCAGCCTCTTGCTCTCAAGTGGCTCCGTGGCGATCCCACTGAATACGAACGAGGGGTACATCACGCTTCCAGAGCCGTCGAACCTGTCGGTCCAACACAGCTACCGGTCCCTCCTCGTAAGATAAGTCTGGATGGATCTGAATATCAATATGAGGAATGACATGATCGGGGTCACACACGTACTTGCGTAACATGGATATATGAAAAACATTGTGAACACTAGATAGCTCGGGAGGTAAGGCCAATCGATATGCAACGTCGCCCACTCGCTTGAGCACTTCGAACGGGCCAATGAACTGAGGGTGCAACTTCTCTCTCTTCCCGAATCGAATAACTCCGCGAAATGGACTAACTCTAAGAAAGGCTCGTTCGCCAACCTCGAACTGAATATATCGTCGATGATGATCGGCGGTTGATTTCATTCGACTCTGAGCTATCTTAAGTCTCTGCCGGATCAACTCGACCTGCTCCGCTGTCTCCTCGATCAATTTCGGACTGAGTCCTCGACGCTCGCCGACGTCATTCCAATAAAGAGGGGAACGACACTTACAACCGTAAAGTTCCTCGTAAGGAGCCATCTGAATAGCAGAATGATAACTGTTGTTGTATGCAAACTTGGCGTATGGCAATAACGACTTCCACTTAGCACCCCTGTAAACAACCAAAGCTCGCAACATATCCCCTAACGTATGAATGGTCCACTCTGTCTGACCGTCAGTCTCTAGATGGTAGGCTGAACTGAATGCTAATCTCGTGCCCATCGCCTTGTGCAAACTTTGCCAGAATCTGCTAGTAAATCTAGGATCTCTGTTGGACACGATAGTAACGGGCACGCCGTGGAGTTGAATAATCCCACGGGTAAAAAACTCAGCCAACTTGTCCAAAGACATACTCATCGATACTGGTAAGAAATGAGCCACCTTAGTCAATCTGTCGACCACGACCTAAATAGCGTTGTGTTGTTCAGACGACCTCGGTAAACCCGTAACGAAATCCATCGTAACCTCCTCCCACTTCCAGCTCGAAATCGGTAGTGGTTGTAGAAGGCCTATGGGACTCTGGTGCTCGGCTTTGACCTGCTGACAGGTTAAACATTTTCTGACAAAATCGACTACGTCTTTCTTCAAACCTCTCCACCAAAACGACCTTTTCAGATCATGATACATCTTGGTACTTCCTGAATGGGCTAGATATGGTGCGGTATGAGCCTCCGTCAAGATCTCCTTCCTCAACGCCTCAACTTTTGGCACCACAATCCTGCCACGAAATTCCAAGGCACCATCTGTGCCTCGGTGAAAACCCTCGATGCCTCCAGATTGGAATTTGGCATCAATGATACGAATGAATTCATCCGAAGCCTGCTCCCGCCGGAATCTCTCACTCAGCGTCGGCTGAATCTGCATGGAACTGACACTCCCCGTAATAGCTGTAGGAAGTGCGTCAACCACCTGAATCTGCATCCGGGCGAACTCCTGAATCAATTGGCTCTGCTGAGTGACAACGTACGTCAAATCCCCCTTCACCTTGCGGCTTAGGGCATCAGCAACAACATTCGCCTTTCCCGGATGGTACTGAATCGTGCAATCATAGTCCTTGACAAGCTCTAACCAACGACATTGTCTCATGTTGAGCTCCTTCTGAGTAAAGATATATTGTAGGCTCTTATGATCGGTGAAAATATCGCATCGACCGCCGTACAGATAATGTCGCCAAATCTTAAAAGCATGAACAACTGCAGCTAACTCCAAGTCGTGCGTCAGATAGTTCTGTTCGTGTGGATTTAGCTGGCGTAAAGCATAAGCAACGACCTGGCCATCATGCATAAGGACATATCCCAAACACTGCCTCGAAGCATCACTAAAAATGGTGACACTCCGGGAAGGATCGGGAATAGTCAACACCGGTGCTGAAGTTAATCTCCTCGTTAGCTCCTGAAAGCTCGATTCACAACGATCAGTCCACTCAAACTCCACAGAAATCCTCGTCAGCTGGCATAAAGGAAGGGCAATCTTGCAAAAGCCCTCAATGAATCTGCGGTAATAACCAGCCAAACTGAGAAAACTGCGAACCTCGGACGGACTCTTCGGTGTCGACCAGTTTTGATTGGCTGCAACCTTGGAAGGTCAACCTCAATACCTGCCTGCGTAATCACATGACCAAGAAAAGCTACTCGTCGAAGCCAGAATTCGCATTTGGAAAATTTTGCATATAACTTTTCTCGTCTAAGGGTTTCAAGAACAACCCTCAGATGCTCCTCGTGTTCCTTCTGCCTCTTTGAGTAGATAAGTATATCATCAATGAAAACAATGACAAACTGATCGAGATAGGGATGGAAGATACGGTTCATCAGATCCATGAATACGGCTGGCGCGTTGCTAAGACTGAATGGCATGAAAATGAATTCATAATGACCGTAACGAGTACGGAAAGCGGTCTTGGGAATATCTGACTCCTTGATTTTCAGCTGACGGTAGCATGATCGCAAATCAATCTTAGAGAAAACACAAGCTCCTCTCAGCTGATCAAATAATTCGTCAATCCTGGGAAGCGGATATTTGTTCTTGATCGTCAGCCGGTTAAGATCCCGGTAGTCGATACACATGCGCATGGATCCGTCTTTCTTCTTGACAAAGAGAACGGGTGCTCCCCAAGGTGAAACGCTCAGCCGAATGAAGCCGAGTCGTAATAACTCCTGAATTTGCGCCTTAAGCTCTTGCAATTCTTTTGGCGCCATACGATAGGGTGCTTTAGAAACTGGAACGGCTCCTGGAATAAGATCAATAGAGAAATCCACCTGCCGGGTAGGCGGTCCTCTGGGAAGCTCGTCCGGAAACACGTCCACGAACTCACGAACAATAGGAACGTCATGAGGTGAGCGTGCCTTCAGAGAATCATCAACAAGGCTGACGAGATAACCCTGACAGTTGCCTCGTCGCAACATCTTCCTGGCTTTCGCCATAGAAATAACATGAGGCAAGGAACGAGTCTTAGTGCTGAAGAAAGTGATCTGATCATCTCCCGGAAGATAAAGGGTAATCTCCCAGTCATGACATCGGATATCTGCATGAAAACTTGTTAGCCAATCCATGCCGAGAATGAGGTCAAAGTCCCTCATCTCGAGAATATAAGCATCGGTAGACAATATACGACCACCGATAGAAAGGCTGAGGTCTGTGGTTCTGGCTGAAGTCACTATCTTTCATCCCGAGGCTAAATTCACCTCGAGTGGACCGACAACGGTACTGACATGAACTCCGATGGCATTGAGACATCGTCGTGATATAAAAGAATGAGTCGCTCCCGTATCAAATAAGGCGAAGACATGAATATCATTAAGCATAAGCATCCCAGACATGGTACCTGGGTGTTGTTCTGCCTCTGCCTGATCAACCGCATAAACACGGGCCTGCGGTCTGCCCCTCTGCTGCTGCTGTGGTGGCCTCTGGGCCTGCTGTCGGGGCTGCTGCTGCTGCTGTGGCTGCTGAGGCTGCTGTGGCTGCTGCTGAAGCTTCTTCGGACGACGGTTAGCAAAATGTCCCTGCTCGTGACAATAATAGCAAATATCTTGGCCCATGTGACACTCTTCGCGATGAAGTCGTTCACAAGTGGGGAACTATGGTATCTGCTGTAGCCTCTGTCGGGTCCTCCTATCCGTCTGGGCACCTTTCCCCTTCCTCTTCGGGCCTTTCGGTGGCTGGGCAGCAGTCGGTGGAACTGGTGGGGTTATAGATGATTGGCCTGGGGCAACTGGCTGAATACGATCACGATTAGCCTCCCTCCAAATGCTGGCATCTACCTCTTGGGCAATGGAAACGGTACGAGCATAGGTATGGACTCCGTGAACTACAATATTGTGACGAACTGCTGGGAAAAGCCCGTTAGTGAAATGCTGTGCTCGCTGTGCCTCAGTACGCACCAAATCTGGAACAAAAGCTCCGAGTCTGGTAAACTCTCTCTCGTACTCATCAAGAGTACAAGTACCCTGTTTGAGCGATAGAAACTGACGCTCTATCTCAGCTCGGTAGTACGTGGGATAATACTTCTCACGGATCATCTCCTTGAATCTCTCCCAGGTACAACCCTCATTTTCTTCGGGACGCATGCTCCAGTAGGCATTCCACCAGAGTCGAGCATCACCGGTTAACTGAAGCTGTGCGCAAATAACGCGATAGCGATCTGGACAGTCCATGACCTCGAAAATCAATTCAAGGCCCTGAATCCACTCATAAACAATACGCGGATCTCCCTGACCGGAGAACTTCTCAGGGTAGTA